AATTCCAAAATTACTAATAATATATTTTTTCTTACTCAACCAGGCGAGATCTACCAGAACAAGAAGTTGGTAGCCCGCACCCAGCAACACATCTTCGTCCTCGGTCAGGGAGGATTCAACGGTCCCCGCAACAGTAAGCATGCCGTGGAAGTCCAGCCTGCACCCAAGAGGGCACCTGATGCCGTCGTTGAACAACGTACTGCTGAAGACCAGGCTGCTTTGTACAGGTATCTATATATTTTTATTTGGATACTACCAGCCTGCCCCTGCTTCGCACGGGACTCCCAACTATCTCGACGACGAGAAGGTCCCTTTCCACAGCTCTCCCCTTTAATTTTCTAAAAAATGTTCTTTAATGAAAACCTTCACCCTACAATAACAAAACAACAAAAAAAAAATATTGGTAAAATTGACCCAGGCGTTGTCGAGTTATGCGCTTACCAAACGTTTGTTTTTTTATGGTATAGTTCGATAACGAGAATACGGATTACCTGTTGGTAAGCAATCAGCGCCACCCATGGACACCCGCAACACCAAAGAAGTTACGAATGCGTTGCCAACCTTTTAGGGATAAGGGTTTCAGATATTTAAGGATTGGGAAGGGATGGGGAACAGGGGGGAAGGGAGGGTTTGGGTGTTTTACAAGCATTTTTATGCCCTTTTTTCGTGACATTTTACACTTGTACAAACTTGCAGTTCAAAATTGAACTGCAAGTTTGTAATTGCCAATACTTCCCAGTTTATAAGAAGAGGCCTTTACTCTGGAGTGGGCATTTATAGGCTGATGATTATAAATCAATAGATCTAAGACGCTATCGCTTGCCCATCTTGACCTTTATGCATTATAACTACAATATCTTTTGATTGTTATTATTTTAATAATAATTATCTGCCGTATTTCTGATGGTGCAAAATTAATAGTGTGTTAGCTAAATACGAAAAAAATAATTATTTAACAGGTTGTCTGGCGACTTGAACCCTCTGCACATCGACCCTACAGTTGCGACTGCCAGCGGACACAAGAAGCCCATCCTCCATGGCATGGCCACTCTTGGTTTCTCTGCCAGACACGTATTAGCTAAGTGAGTACAAATCAGTTTGTTACCCATGGTAAATTTCAATAAGAAAATCGAAGTAATGCCAAAAACATGTTTTAAGGCCTGCAAATAAATTTATAGAAATTTCAACAATTTTACCTATGTATGAGGTATGTAAAGAGAATTTTGAATAATGTCTATTTATTCCTCAGTCAATAAAACCCAACATACTGGTTGAATTTAAATATGAAATACATAATGTCTTCGTTACACAATACAAGTGATAATTCATTATAATTTTAAATTCCAAAAAAGGTCAAACGTCATAGTGTCCGTTACCCAGGCCAGATGTTGTCGACAATGGTCATTTGAATCTTATAGATAATTAGTTGTGCGGCTTCTGTAATTGTTGCGCACACTTTTAAATTTGTTGCGCTTATAGTTTTTTAATTATTTCACAAAAACATTTCCTGCTGGCGTAACGTTACCACAGCCAGACCTTTTTCTTTCTAATGGGAATATTTAAATAAATATTAGCTATAAAATTAGTTGTCTAGATAAAGTAAATGTTGTGCCTTATTTTGTATTTGTTCTTCTTCGGTTGCGAAGTTATTCGAGATTTTGCTTCGGTAACGTTTTTGGTTTTGCTAGATCTTTGAAGTGGTTAAGCGGATTCTTATCATATTTTGTACACGACTACCGAGGACTTAGTTTAAATTTGTTGTGCAATAACAAAACCAAAATAATGCATATTTTAAAGGTTTTTTCATTAAATAGAAAAACACTTCAATTGGCCCCAGCACTCTCAATAAGAAGTCTAAAGACTTACTTTAAACGTAATTTTAAAGATTGTAACTGCCTTCAAATGTATGTGAAGTTTCATTAGTATCCCGTAAGTATTTAACAAGTTATGATGATATTCAGTTCTTCACGAGCACGGTCCTAATGCACGCGGTGTTATTTGGCCACTGGATTGGATATATGAAGTGAATGTTATGTCAATAATTAGTTGTTAAGATCAGTTGTATATCAGTAAAATTTCAGCTCAATACATTGGATAATTAATGAGATAATACTATGAAAGTCATTAGGAAGTGAATGACCGTGGTAAGCCGACCAAGTTTAGGTGGTTACGAAAAAGCGAAAACGCAGAACATTATGGTACCTTCTAAAATATGTAGGATAGTGTTATAAATTTAGTACAGACATGTACAAAAGTTTAAAAAAAAACTACATGATTATTCAAGATTTTTTATTGAAAGGTAAAATAATCATTTCAATTGAACTTTTACTCCCTTACATAGAAAAACTTGTGTTGCTTAGCAACCGATTAAACATCACCCGTCCTTGTCATTTCTATTTCAAAATGCAGTTCAAAAATCATCTAAAAGGTTACAAAAGTAACCTTCTGGCAAGACTGAGTTCGTTATGCAAACAATGTATTACCCCTTCACCCCACTCCTCCTGCGTCCTACCGAACGGCATGCTCTAGCGATGATTTTTGATAATTTTGTGGAACTGGAAGATAATGTTTTCTTTTATATTATTATTATATAGGTATTAAACAGTGTACGCGTCTGTACCAAAATTGTAAGGTGTATTATACTAAACATTTCAAAAGATAGTACAATGTTCTGCGTTTTCGCTTTTTCGTAACCACCTAAACTTGGTCGGCTTACCACGGTCATTCACTTCCTAATGACTTTCATAGTATTATCTCATTAATTATCTAATGTATTGAGCTGAAATTTTACTGATATACAACTGATCTAAACAACTAATTATTGACATAACATTCAGTTCATATATCCAATCCAGTGGCCAAATAACACCGCGTGCATTAGGACCGTGCTCGTGAAGAACTGAATATCATCATAACTTGTTAAATACTTACGGGATACTAATGAAACTTCACATACATTTGAAGGCAGTTACAAGCTTTAAAATTACGTTTAAAGTAAGTCTTTAGACTTCTTATTGAGAGTGCTGGGGCCAATTGAAGTGTTTTTCTATTTAATGAAAAAACCTTTAAAATATGCATTATTTTGGTTTTGTTATTGCACAACAAATTTAAACTAAGTCCTCGGCAGTCGTGTACAAAATATGATAAGAATCCGCTTAACCATTTCAAAGATCTATCAAAACCAAAAACGTTACCGCAGCAAAATCTCGAATAACTTCGCAACCAAAGAAAGAACAAATACAAAATAAGACACAACATTTACTTTATCTAGACAACTAATTTTATAGCTAATATTTATTTAAATATTCCCATTAGAAAGAAAAAGGTCTGGCTGTGGTAACGTTACGCCAGCAGGAAATGTTTTTGTGAAATAATTAAAAAACTATAAGCGCAACAAATTTAAAAATGTGCGCAACAATTACAGAAGCCGCACAACTAATTATCTATAAGATTCAAATGACCATTGTCGACAACATCTGGCCTGGGTAACGGACACAACGTCATAAACTAATGAACATTCTCGACCCAGGTACGGAGGCAATGAACCCAGCAACTTCAAGGCTCTGAAGGCTCGCTTCGTGAAGCCAGTGCTCCCTGGCCAGACCCTCGTCACCGAGATGTGGCTCGAAGGCAAGCGCGTCCACTTCCAGACCAAGACCAAGGAAACTGGCAACATTGTTATTGCTGGTATGTAAAAATCATTCTTATTTTTCTTTGAAGAGTTTTTGTACCAAAACTTTATAAAAGATGAGCGAAACACACAAATAATTTCTTTTAACTTTTACAGGAGCATACATCGACTTCAAGAACATTGTATCCAGCCAGGGTACATCGAGCTCTGCTGCCGCTCCGGCCCCAGCGCCATCTAGTGGCGCTTTGAAATCTGACGGTCTCTTCCACAAGATCAAGGAAGAGGTTGGCAAGAACAAGGAGTTGGCCAAGAGCATCAACGGTGTTTTCTTGTACAATATTACTGAGAATGGAAAGACTGCTAAAAGTTGGAGTAAGTACACTTATATGAGTTATATAGCAAAACTTACAATAAAAACAAAATTTCTCCCTATAACAAGATATAACACAATGCTGATCCCAAGAGGAGAGAAGATGCAGATATTTAACAGCAGTCAAGTCTCATAAAAAAAGTTGTTGGCAGCACACTGTTTGAAACACCAAACCTTTGTGATTTCTGCTTACTACAGTGCGGCCGACGTATCTTGGCGAGTCTGAGGTTAGCCGTTTGTCTGCGCAATGGATCTTTTAGGAGCAAAATTGTGTACTGCGCAGCTAATCGGCTAACTTCAGACTCGCCAAGATACGTCGGCCGCATTGTACTCATACAATACTTTGCACAACCATCTATTACCGTCAACATCCTATTTGACGACAAGCCGCCATAAAATAAAGAAACTGGTTCATAAATCACTAAAATTTATTTTGTTCTATTTACAGCTTTGGACTTGAAGGTTCCTGAAGTATATGAAGGCCAACCAAAGAGTGGCAAGGCTGACACAACCATGACTCTCTCTGACAGTGACATGGTGGACCTAGCCTCTGGCACGCTCAACCCACAGGTTGCCTACATGAAGGGAAAACTCAAGATTGCAGGCAACTTGATGCTCGCTCAAAAACTCGGACCCCTACTGAAATCCCCTGCTAAGATCTAAGCTAAATATTATTATAGACAGGGAAAGGGATATTAATGAATTATTTACAATCAAAATCTTATTACCAGTAATGCATTAGATGCAAAAGTATTATAAGCAATAAATCATCTTTTAAGAAAATATTTTATATTTTTTGTTTTGTTTCAAAGACTTTTTATTTAGCCAGAAATTGCATTTATGTATATTACTGCTATGATCTGTGATATGAAAAGACCGAGTAATTCTGCTGGAGGGCAATTTCTGGCTCTTCTGTTTTGTTTCCATATTCACATGAAGAATGTATATTATTTTGTATGGTGAAGGAAATAAACACCATTTTTATAAAATCATTGTTTTATTTATTTTACCCCTAGTCTGCTGTAAATATACAACATTTTCTTCTGATGTTCTTATATTGGCAGATGAGAAGTTATACAGTTGGTATCAGTTTCCCTTCAAGAAATAAGTTTGCTTCTTTAACTTCGATCTCCCACGCCATTTTCATATGAAGTTGTTCTGTCAAATCTATGAACTTGCTTGCTTGGATTTCAGGCAATTTTTTAGTTGACACTGCTGTTCCTATTATGCAGCAATATGTTCCTTTAAACAAGATTCATTAATAAACCACTAACAAGTATTCTAATAGCAATTTGAAACAGAAAAGCTAAAGCCGATTTAACAAATGAGGACCAAATAAACAATACTAAAAACTTATTTTACAAATGCAAGAAATTTGTGAGTATGACTGGAATAAAAAATGTTATTGTTACTCTTTTAGGTAAGCACTACTGAATGATAATCTGTACAATATATCACTAAACTAAGTTTTGCATAAAACTTAGTTTGACACGTAGGCCCGCTCAAAGCTAGCTAGCTATATTTTATAGTGTATGAATATAAGTCAAAAGTTTTTACCTTTTCTTAATGAACTTTTATCAATAATACCGTGTGCAGTTTCGCATTTTGTAATCTTCGCTCTTCCTGTCGAGTCGGAAATTATTAAAATATCAGCGCCTACAGTTTGTTCGATGGTGCCTTGCAACCAGACGTCTATTGGTGTTGGCTTGTTGATTAAGTCCTTGAGCAAATATTTTCGCGGATCTAGAGACATTTTGTTAAGCTAAGTACAATATAAATAAAGAATTGCTCCACAAAGTTTTCTTTAAAGCTCGTCAAACTCTAACTAATCTAAACTAATAAGTAAGTACTTAAATACTGCTCACACTTTAACATATAACAATATAGGTACTTAATTAACTTATGGTCAGTGGGTCGTCTTAGGGGCGGAGTTTTATTTTTAATTTTCTTAGCAACGAAATAACATTTCACAAAGTTTTTTAGCTTATTTCTCAAAATATTCTAACTTCGAATTCGAATATTTTGCAATTTTCATTGACATTTGAAGTTGGTTTGACAGTTGTCTGACAGCAACGCACGGTAAATGTTGCCAATAGAACGTACAGTTTATATACTCTTTGGTTGCCATATAAAATTTAGATTGTGTTTTTACTATCATCTGAAAAAAGAGTTTGATAGATTTGAGTTTGTTAGCTCAACAATAAAAATTTCATATGTTAAGGTTCACAACACTTCATTTCAGTAAAACCAGAATTAGTTGCATCGTTTTTTTTATTTACCTATATTTTTAAAGTAAACCCCGTTGTTTCCGAGACAGACTTACAATTGGCCAGTATATAATTTATATGACTTACAGAGAAAATATATTTTAAGGATAAACTGTTGTTATAATGTTGATGAAATATTACAAAAACAAAGTCCAAGATAGGTACTGTTGAGGATTTTTTTAAAACGGAAAAATCCCAATACCTACAATTTTTCTCGGCTTGAGAATCGAATCAGAGACCATAAGACCGACGTGGTAGTAGAAGCATTCTTACTTATTCGACTTTAGAGTTATGACAGCTTATTTAAATAGATGCGTACCTACTTATTTCGATTGAGTTAATTATTTTCAGGAAAAAATACTAGTACGTAAGTCAATAAATACAGGCACACAGCACATCTGAATCATAACGTTAATGCTTACGCGTTATATTCAAAATTACGACCGTTAATCAGCGACAGCGCATTCGCAAACGTTGCCCTGAGGAACACCACACCGGTAATCCTACTAGGTAATATTATAAATGTGAAATTTTGTAAGAATGTATGTTTGTTATTCTTACACACAAAAACAGATCGAACGATTTGGTTGAAATTTGGAATGTATATTATGCTTCTTTGTATCTACCACGCGGGTGAAGCCGCGGACGGAAGCTAGCAATTTAATATTATGTTTCAAAAGTTTTTGATGGAAATATATGAAGTACTTACCTTTGTACGTAAATCCGAGGATATTGCTTAATTTCATTTTAATAAACCAGCTTCTGCCAGCGGCTTAGCCCACAGTACCAAGATAAAAAGCCTAAGTATTGTTATTAGTTATTCCACACTATCTACCCCTGTGTAGGTATCATTGGAATCCAGTCAGTAGTTTTTCGTAGAAGAGTGACAAGCTCCTATGCTTCCATAATTATAAACTTTAAATAACTAATCTTAAATCTACAACTGATGACCTTTCGTATCGAAAGCTTTCGTTAAATCTTGTTGTTATGACTTATCATTAATAACAATTAGGTAGGTTGGTGGGTAAGTAGGCACCCGTTTGCCAAATATTCGAAAATTAATTACAAACTCCAGAGTAGGTACCTAACGTAGGAATGAATATACTGTCTTCCAATCATAGACCTATAACATACAATAACTATTAACCATCATAATCCATGTCGTAAAATGACTGTTAATGACTCAATTTAAGCACTCCACAAGGAATTTTCAACGCAGATTACCGCCACAATTATTTCATCCGCATCAACACGTAATCAGTTGTTTATAAAGCGACGCTGCAAGCATGAAATCACTCCGATACTCGAAGCCGACCCATAACAACTCAATCAACGCAATTTTAAAATAAACCTTTTTTTATGCCGTACAAACACTGGCCGCCTTGAACAAAAAAATATTCCCCGGCGAAGGTCTTAATAATGACTTTCTCGAGAACTTGTTACATGTGGACAACGTATAGTAGTCGTATGTACACCATTTTTTTAATGATGCGATTTTGAACCTTATGTGACGGAGACAAAAAAAGAAAATCTAGATTATAAATCTTGGAATATTTTAGGTGGTACCTAGGGTAAGTATATGAATATAGGTATTCTGTCTGAAAATGTATCTTAATTTCTGTTCATTTAGAACCGTATCATAATATGCGCCTATTCCAATATCGCCAAAAGTTATATTTCAATAAAAACAATTTAAGAAAGCCTCTTATCATTCATCTTAATCCTACAGATCCGACAGAGCCGAAGACAGTTCATTCGGACTTGTCTGGTCGGTACCAGTAGGTAAATAAAATAAAATAAAAACGCAACAAGTCTATTTCGTTCAGAGAGCGTTTATTCCGAAGAGACATAAGAGGTGGGAGTGGGGTCGGGAAGGGAAGAAGATATGAAGCTGTCATCTGGCGGTACGGCGGGGCTCTCGACTCTAAACACAACTCAATCGGTGGCGCGCGCGTGGCCCGGACGAACGTACTCGCGTACCCGGTCCTTCCTTCGCCATAAACAAAACGCAAACAAATACAACAAAGTTATCGACGTAAATCAAACAGAAAAAAACGGAGTTCATAAATAAAACTTTACAAGGAAAATCAAGAAAATAGTGATGGTTTAACGTGACGTTATAAAACAGTGATATTTTTGTGGGAGATCGTAAAAGTTTAACAAAAACAGGAGTTCTAAACTTTCCAATGAACGCGAGCCATGTGACTACGGCGAGAGCGGCGAAGCAAGATTTGTACGTGCATTTATCTTATTTTAACTTTATTGTAACGTTTCTAATAATAGAATGGACGAAGGAATTCTGCTTGTTCACTTAGCTTAAGATGAAGATAATACTTATTAAAACACTGGTATCCGCAAACGGTCGAAAAATATTTAAGGAGATTTTGTCTTACTCAATAATTTATGCATTATAGATCTTCATTTTATTATTAGAAACAAATATTATGGTAACAAATAAGTACCTATACATACAATATGTTACTAAATGCAAATGCTGTCGTATCGACCTAGACACCAACCTATAATTATTATAAAAAAAAATCTTTTCAGCAAAACTTAAATTATATAAACATGAATAGGCACAAAACGATATGAACGAAGTCAATTACAATTACATTGTACCACAACTATCTGTAATGAATTGATTATTTACCGTAAGATTTAAGGTCACGCATGTCATGATTTATACAATGAATGCGGTACGTAGCACCAATAACAGGGATCGCAAGTTAATTCATCGCATAGTAAAACACATTTGCATATTCGTGATATCGCATAGGAATAACTCAATTGATCGAGTAAGTACTGGAGGCAAAACAGTATTGTCCTCGCCTTTCCCGTGTCCTTACTTATAGCGAACGTGTACAGAACTAATGAGATGGTCTATTAAACGTTTGACGTAAATATATCACTTGACAAATAGCCGGACGATATTTTATGCGGATATTGGAGTCCAAATAAAGGTTTGCCGACAGCATATATCCAAAGTCTATTTTCGCGCTTCTACGATTTGAAGAGATGAAGAAAAAGACTTCTATAGTATCAGTCATGTGTATGCTTTGAAAATCAAGTCCTCAGAATCAAAGGATAATAAAGTTACGGCACACGAAGTCCAGACTTAATTTTCCTTAAGACATGAAACAGCATACAGCAGTTTAAGGCTGCTGAAATACACCACAGACATTTCAAACGCATAAAATATTAAAGACATCTCAGAAGACTGACATTTATTAGTTCTTAGATCTCTAGTATGGGCCGAAGGTGTTGGACAGCCGTTGACGTATGAATTAGTCATTACATGACAATTTTCTAATCTAGACGGACGCACGTTCCGCGCATAAAGCTGTATTCAGCGCGCCGATTGATTTATTGCCGTGCGCTGTCCATAGTAATGTTTATCTTCCCTTTCTTACCTGTAAAGTCTCGTCAAGGACAAACTAATAAACAACAAAAACGAAACATATTGTTTGGAAACAAATTTAAGATAATATTTTACTGTAACTGATAGGAAGAACGTAGACAAACACAAGTAATAAAAAATCCTGAATATTAAACATTTCTAAGTTCTAAGTATTAACCTTAAATTCTTATTGGTTTGCCTGATTTTCTTTGGAAACGTTTGAGAGATTTTAACGGATTGGGCAACAATTCGGTAAATACAGTGTAAAGAGTTTAACAAGTCGTCACAGAGTGGCTGTAAAACTTCAATGAGTTGCAATTTGTAACGCAATATGAACAAGCAACTTAGACCCATTTTAAAATACACAATACAGAAATATGAGTGCAAACTGTCAACGTTTTAAAAAAAGATATTTAATTTAACGACCGAAACGTCTCGCTAGTTTCGCAGAATGTGTGGCGAGTGGAAAATTATGATAATTCGTTTTAGGTATCCGACAATAGACGATGTGCTTGTTACAGGCAGATGTTCGAATATCTTATAATATTAGATTTGAAGCAAAACCGCTTAAAGAAGTTGTCACTTTTATACTCGATGTTCGATGATCAAAATAAGTGCAGATAATTATTGTAATACTTTTTCATACTCCTAATGTAAACGATGACAATATGACTGTGGTTTTGGAAATTATTTAGTATCAGATTTGCACAATGTTTGAGATTCCAAAATCTATTTGAAATTATCACTATTTTATCGTTTGTCATTCTGAACTTCCTAAAGATAAAAATGTTTCCCATTTTACCTAGTAACACTTTTAAACTAGGAGTCTGTTGTAGGTAGTTTTTTTAGCTACCTCATTTCATTCCGAATGAGTCCAAATCTTTCAGTGTTTTTCCTTTTGTTTGTTCCTAACAAAACCATCAGGCAATATGGAATTGTTTTTTTTTCAATGTTCGTTATTAAATGTTTCATAACACGATGACCTTGTTTCATTCATTTAAAATATTTCCAGAACCGGAAAATTTTAGTGTGATATTTGTCTAAGATCTTTCTTAGTTTGCATTGTCGTTGTGTAAACAAAGCTAAAAGATGTACACGTTTGAGAATGATTTCTTCCGAAATGTTTATTTTGTTTTCATGAAGCGAGAAATTGGATAGCTACTGCACAGTCAGTTGTCTCTAATCTTATGTTTACCTTCGTAATTAACTTTAGATGACGAGCCTTCAAGAGTATCAAGTTACCAACATGCCTTATCTTTGATTTCTACGTAATGTTCTTTTCTCCATTGTTTTGTTAGTGTACGCTTTAATATGGTTTGTTAGTCATTTTATATGAAACGAGACATGTGATTGAATCGATCTTATAATAATAAAGTCATTTATTTGTTTTGAGTTCTATAAGTACTTAGATGCAATCAAACCAAGGGTATGAACATCTGTTTCATCTGTTATGTTGATCGTCATTTTCGATCTGCGTCATCGCTGAACTTTGAAAACGACTAAATTGATTTCAATTTAATTTTGTTGATTAAGATCTAAATAAGTCTGTTATTGGCACTTTTATTATTATGTTGAGGATATTGTATCAAGAATATAAGTTGAGTGGAACATTAAAAGGAATAACAAAACATTTACGAGGTGTCTCGTTGCGAAATGGTAACACGTCTCAACGGTTACGACCGTTTTATCGGCTGCGTTACCAAAACCGATCGCTTTATATTCAAACTTTTGTTTTCCTTTTGGTCACGCCTGCGAATGATCTCCAGTCTCCACACTGGATTTAGAACTTCCATATTAACTTCGATGTTTAGAAACAAAAAAATTTGGTCGGCGCATTTACTATTCTGACCCTTGCAGCTGCAAGCCACATGTCTTAATTTGTCTTCCAAACCGACCTTTTTCATGATTTACGATCGTCATGGTGTGTCCTTGCATCTGAACCCATGAATTTGTAGAGCCTGAAAAACACTCTAGACATCTGTATTAATGTAGCAAACTGTTGCCTATGAATTCTTTTTTTTAAATGATCTTTCGATAGTGCAATATACCTATCCATGTCAGTTTTGCTTTGTTTACTGGGATATTAAGTCTTGCAATATTACGTGTGGCTGGTTGGTTCAAAAGTGAACAACAAATAAACCCATGTCTTCTTATACTCCAAAATAGTAGCAAACGTGTTCTATTTGAACGCACAACTAGACAATTATAATAAAGTGTTAAGAGTTGCTACCTGCGGCCCTTTTGACTGCTCCTTTTTTATTTGCTACTGTTCATTTTTTTGTGTTCCATTTTTATCCTGTCGCTGTCGAAGAGATCGACCGATGTTACCTGCGTGAAATTAGAATTAAGATGTTCTTTTATTGTTAAAGGTTATGCAAGTTTTAAGATTTTTTGCGAGGATTTTCAATTGCTACCACATGTCACGTCTTTGTTGAGCTGAAAGAAAATTTTGTTGATGTTAATGCTATTATGGATATGTTTTTCGTTAGGCCGCTCTGCAAAAACAAGAGCTCAAGTGGTGTTGAGCCGGACATCCTTTGGATTGGAGCCAATCAGTTGGTTTCCGTTCTTATTTAAGCTTCTTTTAACTGGTTCAGTGTTGGGGACAGATTTACTTTGAGATTTTAACATTTATAGTTCCACGTTTCTAGTAGTACATTTTGTTCATCTGTCTAAAGTCTACACTTGAACTTAGAGTCTATATTCTGAAACTTAGCTAAATCTGTTAAAGCTTTGTCTGTCTTATTCTGTCGAATGTTAGATTTATTACAATTCTGTTTTGTGGTAGGATTCTTGCATTTTGATAGCACCATTTCTTAGCATTTTTTGTTCAGGGAATTATAAATCATAACCATATGTCGCTAATTTATAAAAACGTACTTAATAAAGTTTATCTTTACAATTAATATACCATTGCATTAATAGCTTCATTGAAATGGTTGGAAATATTATGAGTCAGTACATTCATTCCAATACTGGATCGGCTTCCACTACATCCAGCATCTGAGTCATTAACCCCGCGGAGTAACAAGAGCTGGATTTGGAATTTATTCAGACGCAGCTTAGGATCACGCCTCGTTGAGAGCCCCATTGATTTGTATGATTTATTATTCTGGTAACACGAGATTTGTGTGAAACAAAACGTCTTTAGTGTTGCCCGCATAATCTGCCGCTTGTATGCTGTACTTTGGGTAGTGGAGTTTGTAAATAGAGTTACCGACAGATCGTATTTTTGACGGTATAGTTTTAATTGTCTGTAATGCCCTTATTAATGAATACTTACACAATCAGGTATTTCATTTTATTAAGAAGTCATACTGGTCATACCTCATTACATTTATCATATGCATAATCCTGTGCCTTATTACACTTTAAAGTGTTGTGAAAAAAAAAGTTTTACATTTTAAAATACAAATTCTTAACCATGTAGCAAACACGGTTACAACGATTACAAACGAAGACTTTAATAGACTATTTGTTATCTGTGGTAAAATTCCCGCCATTAACGATGCAGTGCACGGTGTCTGTACATACTTATACTGCTTGCGTTATGTTCTTGCATTTTATACGTTAGTGATAGGTGTCTTGTTGCCTTGCGTTCCCTGAAACATGGCTAGCGGCTGGCTGCGAGGGAATCATCTTGATTATTACCAAGAATTTTCTTACAAACTTATTGTAGTTTACGATGTACGAGTCTTTTGTAACGGATTTTCTATATTCAAATGTGATCTAAATGTTCTAATTTGTTTCGCTGCGGTTTCCAAGACAGTTGCCTCATGTCTCTCTCAATTCAGGACAAAATGGTGGAGAAAATAATTCTTATATCACTTACT